AGAGATAACTTCTCAATCCTCCCATCCCATACATTTTCTTGAGCCCATTACAAAAGATTTACTTTTAAAATGGATTTTTTTTTTTAACAGCTAGACAGAATGAGACTGTTTGTTGAACAAATGGTGGTAAAATCCCCAACGGTCTGACTTACTTCCTTAACAACCAAGACTTCTGCTTGAGCCAGCTGATGCTCTTTTAATGAGTGCTGCTTGTCAGAGGATCATACCTGCAAGTTGCTGTATGAAACAACCATTTTCCATCAGTTCATAAAGCAGTCTCTCTTTTGAAATGGATAAGATGTTGTACCAATCTCTGCAGCACAAAACAGACACTTGTTTGAACTGAAAGGGGGGGAGGAGGAGGAAAGAAACAGCCCAAAGCATATGGGGGGGAGGAGGGTGTTTCTTCCTTTTCTTTTAGTTGTTTTCCCTTTCTATGAGAGACGGCTTTGTGTTTGGTGTTTGTACACAACAAGTTCAATAGATTCAAGAAGAAAAATGTTGAAATAGGAGCTTCAAAATGAATTTCAGCTGTGGCCTGAGTGAATTAATACAAGCATGACAGGTTGCTTATTTAGCAAGCTGGGTGGACAGTAAGATAAAGACTTTTCATGTGACAGAACATCCCCAAAAGGTCTCTCTCTGTCCCTTGTAAGGTTTTTCAACAAAAAACAAGAAGAGACTTCCAGAAAAATCAAAATGACAAGTTCAAAACAAAACACACTAGTCCTTTTCTTAAAGGAAGATCATCCCCATGCCAAGCTCAAGCTTATTAATGTTGCTTTCTGACAAGCACATCCACTTTATGATTTATGATTTTTCTGAGTCTGTGGACCTGGTTACTTTTAAATAAAATGGTAATGTATAACTATTGTACTACTACTTCAGATGGATTCAAAGCTAAGATCATGCAGTAAAAGAACAGCTTTTAGTAGCCCTGCCATCAACCTGTTCTTTTTAATATATGTGTTATTTATTGCTGCAGGTTAGGTTACACCTTTGAATATAACATTTCTCACCAGAAACATCAATGAGTTTAATGTGCAATGCTGAGTAATTTTGATTGGACCTATATTTTATCATTTGTGCTATTAACATCAACAAATTTTCAAGCTACAATAGTCTGTACATTTGGGTTTAATGTGGATTAAGGGAATCAGGTTCTAACATATTCAATTACCTCAGGATTTTTTTTTTTTGTCCTGTGCATATCAAGCTGGCTTAAATCACTGGTAAAACTCAGATTGCACTTGTGTACAAACTGACTGTGTCCTAAGAAAATGAACCACTGAAGTTAATTCAGATTTGCTCAGAGCCTTGAACAATGTAAGTAATGAATCTTTCAGACAGTTAATTCAAGCAGAACAGAAATAGAATCCACTTAAATGTTACTACTTTTTGGATTGAATCTTAACAACCTGGATAAGTCTGAAGACCCAAGTCTCAGTGGATGAGATCTGCAAATCCCAATTTTGACCACAGCAGAGAGATAGGTGGTGACTTCATCTTTGTTTATTCAATGAAATGACTGCCCTACTTACTTTCGGACCAGAAACATAAATATATAATTCTATTTTGCTCTAAAAGTCATTTTTACATTTTGTAAACCTTTCTCCATTTTGCAGAACTTACATCCAAGCTGATAAAATCATGAAGTAGGAATAGCGATTTCTTGCACAAAAAATGTGTATGTTAGAGATGATGGTTGAATGTTTCACCTCTATTAACCTCTCTTCCAAACCAGCAGAGATGTGGGAATATTTACTTATCATACAAATTCAAACTGAGATGCTTTTCCTGTGAACAAAAATGCTCCTGAACTTTGTTTGCAAGGGTAAAGTCTTGTGTGGTTTGCTGCATATATTACCATCACTGTCATTTTTCAAATTATTTAGTGTTCTTAATATTGGACAGATAGTAAGAAAAATTCTCACTGGTATTTAACTTTTTACTAAAAAGCTGATTAAACCTTTATCCCTGTCCATCCAGCTCAGGTTGTCACAGATTTTCCTACAGTAACTAAGCTGCTGTGTTATGATGCAGGCTCTATACATGTTATTTAGCATGCTGCTTCTTTTTAGTGTTCCAGGCTGCACAGAAAACAGCCTCTAGCATATTAACTCCCTGTTTCACTTGAAGTAAAACAGGAAAGCATTTTAAAAGATAAGTTTTCCCTTGTCACCTCTCCTGCTTGTACTGTAGATTATCAGAGCCTTTCCCCTCTCTCACGTAAGTAGAAGCAGATATAGAGAAAAATGTGTTCTTTAAACCAGAGGAACATTTTTCTTTGCTGTTCTATTAATATCTGACAGAAATAAAAGGGGAAAATTCTGAATAAATCATTACAGGCTTCTTAAAACCTGTAAAATGATTTTTTAAATAGGGCTTTGGTTAACAAAAATGGGATCTGAACATATGTGTAATGGAGCTAGACTCACAGAGGAAAATGATAATTTCTATGTCTGGCACCTGTCAGGCTTCTTTAAGAGTCTAAATGCATGTGTTAGCACTGATAACCAGGCTTACTCCCCAGTAGACCAATCACAGCCTAATTTTCAGAGGAAAATCTTAAGAGTCCTTTCAAGGTCCAATTTCAAAACATGACCCTGTGTTATCCAACAGAGGCCAGTATCAACTAGATTTGTTTGCACCAAATATAGCTTTAAAGGATAGTAGTTGTAAGAAATCAGAGAGAATCTCTCCTCCAACACTGAACAAGGAGTGATAACAGCATAAGAAGCAGTACTAATCCTAAAACTTGCCTTTCTGCTCCAGTAACCACTGGGTGTTCAGAGAACATGCACAGCCTCAAAGTTGTAGATCTGATGGACCCTATAGTAAGATAACTAGGAGCAGCGTTCAGAGCAGGTAGCCTTATATATCATAATTAGTCCAGGACAAAGAACAGATGGTATGAGAAGGAGATGGATTCCATGAATATGGAGTGGGTGGTAATTGTAGCTGGTCCAAGACCTGAGACCTGAGAGAGTGGTGTTGGTAAATAGTGATAAATGTGAAGGGGTTATTTTCTGGGTATTACAAGTTACAGGAACAAAGAATGGAGTTGTCAGCTGACAACAACTTTTTAACATGAAGGGTTTTTTACAGCTGCTTTTATCCTGTGATGTGTTGTTTCATTTGTTTGTTTGCTGCTGAGCATTCACTGTGAGATTTTAGGATTCTCAGTCTATGAAGAGATGGCTTTGTGTGGCAAAAGGTTTTGAGACCCAATCAGGAAGGCTGTGGCTTCACAGTTAGAGAAGATGAATTCACAACTAGTAGTGAATATTTAATCCCTGGTTTCAGAGTAAATGAACGTAAGCAAGTACATTTGACTTTCCTTTTAGTTTTGTCCCACAAAGTTAATTTTCTGATGTTGAATTTTTATTGATGGTCCCTTTTCTTCTCTGTAGTTACTGTATCAGGAAAAGAAGTGCTCTGAAAGCCAGACAGAAGAGGAAAATACTCCAAAGAAAGTTGGGCTATTAGTCTCCTGAGACACCCAGTGTATAGATTGCTTTGGCTTATGAAAGACGCATCAGCCACACCTCCATTCAGGATCAAGTCTAGCCTGTTTCTGAGACTTGGTGTCATAGGCAGCAAGTAATAACTCCACAGTGGAGAGACATGTTTCAATGGAGATGCCAAGGTATAAGCACGGGGATTAGTTCAACTGACTTTTTCTTGGCAGAGGCCTTAGAAGGCGTAAAAAGTGGCTCAGCAAAACCCATGGGCATGGATCTGCTTTTTGAGGATTTAATTCCTCTGACCTTACAAATAATTAATTAATTGCTGGGTTTCATCCTTTTAATCACTGTGATAATAATGTTTATTCCAGAAGAAACCACAAGTGCAATGTTGTATGCACTTTCATGATTAGAAACTTTTGACTGTTTTTTTTTTCTTACTGTTTTCTTAGGAAGGTTCATCTCTGTGCCTAATACATATTTTGGAGTATAACAATTACAGACTTTCCGAAGATTTTTACTTTTCTTTGAAGGAAAAGAAAACAGGTTTTACAGTTCCTCCCATGAAAGTTATAAAATAATTCCTGCTTCATACCAAAAAAATATTTGCAGTATTTGCAATACTTGCACTGTTTCCCTTCCAAATAATTCTGGTCTTTTGTTAGAACTTGGGGAAAAGGCTATTGGTACTTTTTTTTTTTCAGCAAGATTTTGTTTATTTCAGGTGAGACTCACGCTCATTTGTGGATGACATATAGGTTAAAATTCAGATACGGTTTCTGAGTGAAATATAAATTCTGTAATGAAAAATGGTTATTTTCCTTTGGCTTCAAAGTTGGTTGCTTGCCCTTTCCAGAGCAGTTCATTTAAATTTTTGAAGATTCAGTCAAACTTTATTGAAAAGAATATTTTGGAAAAGATGGAAAACAAGAAATACAAAATCACTAGGAACACCAGGTCAATTTACTGATGGAATTCTGCACTACTCTGTGAGATGTGGTTGAACAATAGCTGGGTCTTGTCTATTTCCTGTTTATAGGAGCCTGGAGTCTGTGGCATGGCAGTGCTTTTGATGTCTGTTTTGTAGCAGAGTTGCACTTGTTAGTGGGAGGAATGTGAAGGGTTGGCTGAGAAAACAAACCTCTGTGAGAATTTGAACCAATGAAGGATGGAAGTCTGAGAAACCAGCTTCCCCGTATTTCAAACCTGTGCTTAGTGAAAGAACAGTCAACATAGAGAGCCACGGTGAAAGAGGATTTACTGGGGTTTAATCTTGTTTGAAACTGCATTCTGGAAAGTTCTCTAAGAATTCAAGCTTGCATTAAGGTTTCTCTTTGTATAAAAAAACTAAGCATATAACCCACTTAGTTATTTATAATAATTTGTTGAATATGTTTTTCCTAACAGGGACTCCTCAGGTTTATCAGGTCTGTTTGAGATTCAGGAGCAGAAACAGCTAGGGATTTTTACTTTTTAAATGGGTCTCTGATTGATTTTCCATCACAATAGCATTGTTAGCGTCACATTGCCTACCTTTAAGGGACACATTCAAGAACTTCTTGGACGAATTCTATACCTCTTGTGGGATATGCTGAATTAGCTGTTGCTTTCTGTAACTTGTGTTTGCTAAGCACATTGTCTTCCTGTTGTCCTGTAGACTACTATGGGTTTTAATGCAACTTATCTAGAATTAGATTTATCTTCTGTCGATTTGCTGCTTCTTCTGGGCTTGATACTATGACTCTGAAGACAGTAAGAGTACTGATGGCAGTTTCAACTTGAGCAAGAGCAGACGTTTAGATATCCCGCATAGTTTCTCTGTTAGTAAGTCAGAATGCCGTCTGAATTTACAGACCAAAACCCAAAAGCAATCACAAAGAACACAAGTAATTTTCAAACTTCACTTTTATGGCATTTTGAAAAAAAAAATAATTCACATTGAAACTTCTTTTTTCTTTTTGTTTTTTACAAATAGGAAGAAAGAAAAGGATAGAGCATTTTCTAGAAAGTGCATCCAACTCATCTACCTGCTGCTGCTAAATGAAAATCCATAGTAATGTAAGCCTTCACCTAACCACTCTGTCAAATATCTTTTCTCCCTCTTTTCATGGTTATTTTTGAACAAAGTTAAGAACCTAACACAAAGTATGGAAAAGCTCTCAACGTTATTTTCTTAGGAAGGAGTGCTTTACTAGTGGGCTTGTCTGAAGTTGGCAATACTCTGTTGCATTGTATAATATTTGAATTCTGGCGCTTTATAACTACTGTTCAGGTAAATATCAATGTAGTACCAGGTAAAAGATACAAAGAGGTGAATTGAATTATATTTAATCACAGCTGTGTCTACTACTCAGCCTCCTGGAGTGGACTCCTGGAGTGGCAAAGCAATTACCATTACAACAATGATCTTTGTATCTGTATACTAGGCATGCTTCAATCCAGGCTTGAAAAATATGTGGTTCCAGTAGTTGTCTTCATAGGCACAAAACCTTTTTGAAGCCATTTACTTGTCCATAATCAAAATATCGGATATTTTTCTTCCCTCAACGCTTTTCTTTCCCACTTTCCTGTTAATAGAGAATTCTAGGAAGCTGCTCTATCAAAGCTGATGAATGCACATTCCTGGAGGGTCAAGGTGCTATTCCTGGCTGGACTGCTTTGAGACACAGCTGCTTCCTAACTGGCCAGTGCAAAGTCAGCTGTCTGCTGTTATGCTTCCAATGTACATGAGTTGGTCTAGTCTGGTTATTGTTCTTGGAGCAGGTTAGAGACCTGCATCATGTGCTGCCAGAACTGTGGGATCAATAACCTTCAGTTGTTTGGTGATGATGAATAGCTGGAGCCGTAACACCACCTACCTCACAGCTCTATTCAGGCAGTGTATAAAAGGCTGCTGAGCATGAGCAAAAGTGGTACATAAGCTCAACATAGATTTATCTGAGCTGTATAGAGCTAGCTTTGTACACCTAAGTCTTAGCTTTTCTGCTTGTTGTTAGTATTTGTTCTTTTGTACCTTGCCTAATGCTGTGAGGTCTTGTTTACTTGCAGTATTAAACTGTTAGAAATGAGCATGCTGGCAATGTATATTTCTGTGCTGGATTTCAGTATAAAATGCATTTTTTCTATGGTTAATTTTCACACATTCACTCAATACAGAATTGCATTTCATACAATTTATGCAGTATTGAAATAAGTTATCAAGAGGAGATAATTTTGTATGTGCTATGCCTTCATTCCAGACTCTCTTCTTAAAGGGAAACTCCAGAAATGTCTATGAAAGTAAGTTAAAAAATTCTTCCTGGGAGAAATAAGGTTTCTTATGTGTTCATTTACTGTGGTATTTGAGGAATGGGGGAGATAATATCTGACATCTTTTCAAACACTGCTCTATACAAAACACTTCCACTCCAGCTGCTTCTTACATCCTCTATAAACTCTGTTTAAATGTTATGGAGGGTTTCTAATCTGCATTGCAGTTTTTGAGTTAGAAACGGGCAACTCATTCCACAGTGTGTGAAAACAGCCATTATTTCAAATGGTTGATGATCCTTTGCATGCACTTAAAGAAAAAATACAATAATACAACAGATAAAAATACAAAGGTAAAACAAGAGCAAAGCATCACTCAAGGCCCATAGGAGAAGTAACGCCCTATTTGAAGAGCAGCTTTCTGGTTCTGCTTGTACAAGTAAATGACAAACCTGAATGACCTCATTTGAAGATGTTTTCTGTTCTTCCTCCACCTGCGTTATTGTTTTCAGGTACTTACAGAAGCTTTTGTTCCTGAACAATTGTGAAAATTTATTGTCTGAGTCATTTTAGCAATGCTCTTCATAAAATAATTTAATTTATATTCCTTCCCCCTACCAGTAACTTTTTATTTCTTACATCCTTTTAGGAACAAATTGAAGGAAAACAAAGTCCTAATGTCACCACTAAAATCATTCAACATTTACAAAGAGAGATCATATAGTATATAAGAGATAACTTATTTGCTCTGTCTTGTAAATATAAGGAATAGCAGTGGTAGATCTAAGTGCAATGTACATCTATGGTATCAATAAACTGGTTAGCTTTATCTGTGTATATTGCATACATCTGCAGAAGTAGTGCATGACAAAGTGTGCAATAATGAATACTGCACAGTGATGGACAACACTAAACAGAATAAATGTAAAGGATAATGACATTACTCTAAAATAACAAAGCCCCAAGCAATTCTAGTAAACCTATGAGGAGGTGTAAGTTGTCTGCATTGTTTCACATGGTAATAATCTGTGCATCCATGTAGTTTTTATAATGATAGATGTGTATAAACTATTATATGAGCAGTTGAAGAAGAAATTACCTGTTTATACTGAACAATTTCCATATGAATGATTCAGGGTTGTGGGTTTTGTTGCTTCCCTTTTCAGAGATCTGAAGTTTCTTTCTACCACTGGCTTTTGTCACAGACTTGCAGCCACACAACCTGATCTCATCAGCTCAAACAAGTTTTTGTTTTATTCTATGATTCTAAGTTAAACGTAATCAGATCTGCTTGATACTTAGATGAGTGATTTCCAAGGTAATTCAAGAATGCATTAGGAGATTGCTCCATATAAGTATTCCTCTCTTGCCAGAGTTGAAGAATTGATCTCCCATGCTGTTGGGGAGTTCACCTGATATATGGTTCTTCATCCTTATCCTAAGTTAACCTTTACCATTGCCATGCTGTTAAACACCTCCACATTCCCCCACAAGTGGCTGCATTTGTAAGTGTATATAGTCTACCAAGAACCTTTTGGGATGAAAGGTACTACATAAGCAATGGTGCCAGCTAAGATGCTATATTTTATATTAGCTTTCTGCAGCTGTGATTTTAATATATCCGAACAGAATGTTAATTTTCTAAGCACCACTGAGATCAACCTTGACTGGACAGTACAGAGAACTGTTTCTTTGTCAAAAGTTCTCATACAAAATCATGCACACAGCTGTCAGAAGGTCTAGATAAACGAGTATTTCTGTTATCACCCTCTGTGATATAAGCCAGAATGATCATTACTGGTTTTATATTCATTTGTAAGCTGTGATTTAATTGGCTTTTTTGACTTAACTAAAAGCTGGACCTGAACATTACATCTTGAAGTTTCCATTTACTTTTACTCTAAGCCAACTGACATAATGTTTCTTGATATAACTGAATATGTAAGGTGAAATCTCACACTGTGCAGACTTCTGTTTCTTCTCAGTTTTGTGTAACAGCTACAGTTCTACCTCTCTTGGAGAAAATGCATGGGAAATCCGTATGTGAGGAATGAATATTGTAATAGTTAAGAGCTAAGATAAAGAGTACCAACTCACTTGTGATCATCAGTGCAAAATGAAACAAGAGGTTATCAAACCTATTGCTAGAGGAAAATACAGATTAAATACAAATAAGCACAAATTAAAGGCTTGTATATTGAGAAAGAGTGAGCCCAGCAAGCTGTTTAAAGACAAATATTAAGGCTGATTTTCAAAGAAGAAAAAGTCACGCTTTTTAGCTGTATTTTTTCCTGAATAAATAGCAAAACTATAGAACAATTTCCTTAATTGAATGCACAGAATGAGACATGCAACAACAAAAAAAGAAACCACTGTTAGTGTAATCACAATGGATTTTCATGCTCTAAGACAATCATCATCCACCGCTTGGAAAAGGAAAATTGTATATATACACAGAAATTATGTATATAACAAAGAAATGTCTGAGCTACAAAGCTAGAATCTAGATGTGTCTTTTCCATAGATTTAGGGTGGGTCCCATATTAGGAAGCCTTATCTCCAGAAGGTACTTCATCCTCTATACCAGTCTCACAGAGAAATTCAAATCTAGCAGAAGAGATTCCAGTGACTTCAGTAAAGTTTTGCCTGACCGCACCAAAAGTGAGTTATACTCACTGCTGTTAGTATGGGGATTCAGTCTGTGTCAAAATGTGGATGCAAGTGCTCTGAGAACTCCCAGTGAAAATACCTTTTTAGAGAAAATGATAAAATGAAGTCAGATATCAATCATTCATAAATCTCTTGTATTTATATGTAAAGCTAAGTAGGAAATCAGGTTGTATGTTAGAAGGATGTACACGTACAGAAGGAACGAAGAAATGAAATCTCTTTGCAGATTATTTTCTGTCTTTTTTTTTGTTTGTTTGGTTTTTTTTTTTGTTTTCCATTTTGGAGAACAATATATATTCAAACATCTAAAGCATAGACAAGTTTGTCTATGACTTTTAAATTTGGATTTAGCTAAGGAAGTCCAATTTATACAAGCTTGAAGAGGTTTTGTTAATACCAAGCATACCTGAATATGCCTGCCTTTGTACCTTTGAAGGATTTCACATTGCCCAATACAGTGTTCGTCATGGTTTTAATTTTTTCTTCAAAATGGATCTCTTTTATGTCTGCTATTTACCACCCTTGCCAGAGTCATTGAGCACAAGATATTCAGTATCTACAAGATGCAGAAACTGCTTTCTTCCTCATACTCATGTAATAGGCAATGGATGGTTTTAAGAAATGATCTTTACTCTGTGCCTTACCTATTCACGTGTAGGATTTTGATTTCATTTGAAATGAAAGGCGTAAACCTCAGGTTTGAAAACTAATAGAATTTCTGCATTTACCTGC